TAAACACATGTTTAGATTCAGCATATCAAAGAACCCCAAGAATTCAATTTTTGTTAAAATCAAACTAAGTTTAATTTTGGACCCTTTGGACCTCAATGAAGACCAATTTAAAAAACGGGACCCAAATTAAACATCTAAAAACACGGTTAGATTTGGCATATCAAAGAACCCCAATGATTCAATTTTTGATGAAATCAAACAAAGTTTAATTTTGGACCCCTTTGACCTCAATATGAACCAATTTGATAGCGGGGCCTACAAATAAAAAATCTAAATACATGGTTAGATTCAGCATATCAAAGAACCTCATATATTCAATTTTTGTTGAAATCAAACAAAGTTTAATTTTGGACCCCAATTTGGACCAACTTGAAAACTGGGCCCATAATAAAAAATCTAAATACATGTTTAGATTCAGCATATCAAAGAACCCCATATATTCAATTTTTGTTGAAATCAAACAAAGTTTTAATACTGGACCCTATCTTGGACCAACTTGAACACTGGGCCCATAATTAAAAATCTAAACACATGTTTAGATTCAGCATATCAAAGAACCCCAAGAAATCAAACAAAGTTTAATGTTGGACCCCAATTTGGACCAACTTGAAAACTGGGCCAAAAATCAAAAATCTAAATACATGTTTAGATTCAGCATATCAAAGAACCTCATATATTCAATTTTTGCTAAAATCAAACAAAGTTTAATTTTGGACCCTTTGGACCTTAATGTAGACTATTTTGAAAACTGGACCCAAAATTAAAAATCTAAATACACTGTTAGATTCGGCATAACAAATAAATAAATGTGATCAAAGATTTTACAAATCTAATGCGCCATACTGTGCAATTAAAGATTACTTCTTGAAATTTTTCAATATTTGAAATATGAAAAAAAAATAATATTTGAAGAATAATTCTTTTTAATTTCTGAAATCTGAAATGAGAAAAAATTGACCCCCCACAATTTCTTTTTATCCCCCAAAAAATTCTTTCCCTCAAGATATGGTCATAATCTCAATTCAAATTTCCAATGGAGTTGGCAACCAAAATTACCCATTTAATTTTACCATAGTGCTAACTTAATCTATTTTATAATAGAATTAAAAATATAGTGTCAAATCTTTCATATGGATTTTATTGTAAAATAAAATGATGCAACATTTGCAGATATTTTTACTGGTCTTCCTTTATAAATATGCATTTCTTTAAACATAATTTAAAAGCAGTGTAAGGGAAGTAACCAAAACGTTGTATTTGGATTACCTCCCTTACACTGTTTTAAATTATCTTTATTGTTCATTAACCATTACTTTATACATAATTTAAAAGCAGTGTAAGGGAGATAATTTCAATGATGTATTTGATTTATCTCCCTTACACTGCTTTAAATTATGTTTTGTACGAAGTATTTGTCCATTAACCAGGACAACCTTGTTTTCCCCCCTTTTTTGCCCCTAATTCTTAAATGGTTTGAGCCATAACCCCCCAAAGCAAATCCTAACCATCCCTTTGTGGTATGGAAACTTGTAGTATAATTTCAGAGAGATCCATACACTGTTCCACAGTTATTGTCTTAAACTAGAAAATGCTTAGTTTTGGCCCCTTTTTGGCCCCTAATTCCTTAACTGTTGGTACCATAACCCCCAAAATCAATCCCAACCTTCCTTTTGTGGTATTTAACCTTATGGTAAAATTTCAAAAAGATCCATTCACTTAAACTAAAGTTAGAGTGCGAAAACCAATGCGTCTTCGGACGACAACGCAGGACGACGACGACGACGCCAACGTCATACCAATATACGACCACAAAAATTTTTTTGCGGTCGTATAAAAACTGCAAAATTTCCTTAAAATTACCAATTCAGGGGCAGCAACCCAACAACAGATTGTCAGATTTGTTTGAAAATTTCACGGCGGATAGATCTTGATCTGATAATCAGTTTTATCCTATGTCAGATTTACTCTAAATGCTTTGGTTTCAGAGATATAAGCCAAAATCTACATTTTACCCCTATGTTCTATTTTAAGTCATGGCGGCCATCTCGGTTGGTTGGCGGGGTCATCGGACACATTTTTTAAAACTAGATACCCTTATAATGATTATGGCCAAGTATTGTTAAATTTGTCTCAGTAGTTTCAGAGAAGAAGATTTTTGTTAAAGATCACAAAAATTTAAGAAAAATTGTTAAAAATTGACTATAATCGCCAATAACTCCTAAAGGGGTCGACTGATAATTTTGGTCATGACGACTTATTTGTAGATCTTACTTTGCTGAACATTATTGCTGTTTACAGTTTATCTCTATCTATAATAATATTCAAGATAATAACCAAAAACTGCAAAATTTCCTTAAAATTACCAATTCAGGGGCAGCAACCCAACAACAGGTTGTCAGATTTGTCTGAAAATGTCAGGGCAGATAGATCTAGACCTGATAATCAGTTTTACCCTTTGTCAGATTTACTCTAAATGCTTTGGTTTCAGAGATATAAGCCAAAATCTACATTTTACCCCTATGTTCTATTTTTAGCCATGGCGGCCATCTAGGTTAAAAGGCGGGGTCATCGGACACATTTTTTAAACTAGATACCCCAATGATGATTGTGGCCAAGTTTGGTTAAATTTGGCCCAGTGGTTTCAGAGGAAAAGATTTTTGTAAAAAGCTAACGACGACCACGGACGCCAAGTGGTGAGAAAAGCTCACTTGGCCCTTTGGGCCAGGTGAGCTAAAAATGGTAGATTTAATTATTTTTTTTTGGGGGGGGGGGGGGTGGTGGTGGTGGTTGATTTGTTGTTGAAATCTTGGCACAATTTCGTAAAAAAATTAAGGACAATTCAGCATGAGTTGACATCTAGGATAAGCAAAAAGAATTTTCTAGTTAAGATAAATGTAAACTACTTAAACAGTTTGTAATATGGTGATTCCAGCTCAATTTCTCCATCCTGTTTTTAAACTTTATCTATTTAGAAAACAAACATACACATCAGTGAAAAATGTAAACAATATGACATCAAAGACCACAACAAGGAGCTCAAATCTATAAATTAACAAGCAGTAATACATAATAATTAACATATTACACCTGGCCCCATCTAAGCACAGCAGTATACAAGACTTAGAGAGTTTATACTCACAGACCAAATAGAAATGTATATTTCTTTTAGATAAAAAAAAAAGCTAAAACTCTAATAAACACTGTTTTATTTGCAAAATTTTATTTATTTCATAATGATGAAAACCAAATAGAATTTAAGGCTGTGAAGCCATATTGGCAATAAAAGGAACATTCTCTTACGATAAAAAGTATCATAAATATGGTAATACCTATTAAGTACAATTTCTTTTTTAGATCTACCTTGGCCAAGATATTTTAAATTTACAGAATAGAATACAGGATGATATTTATTTTACAGTTACTGTGTCCAGGCATAATACACATTTGTATGGATTTAAGAGTGCTGTTCTTGTTTATTATATAATTAGTACTTTGTATTATTACTTTTACATGACTTAATCATAAATTTAATATGTAAACATAATTTATTTGTGACTCAACTTTCAGACTTTTCTCTCTCTCTAATATCTATATTCTCAGATTTTTGAATACATATTTCTAAGCTTTTGAAGTGAAGTGATAACGTTTCTTTCATTTACTTGTGTATTAATGACTTATAAACAATTACAATAACACACTTACACCTGACCACTCATTAATTGTAGGTAACTCATAAACTGTCAACTTTTACACTACCGATTACATAAAATAGCCACTGGTCTTATCACCTATCTTTAATGTCAAAAAAACAACTCTTAAATACCATTCCACATATATTTCAAACTGTAGTATGTTTTTTTCTGTTCTTTTCTTATTATTCAAAAGAACTTCTTTAGAATTTGACTAAATGATCGATAAATTTTAAATATAAGTATATTTTTTATCAACCATATTCTAAAAATGTCACAACTATTCAGCTTATTCAAAAAACATGTCTCCTCAACATCTAGAATTACTTCCGTACATAAATCAACAGAGAAAAGTACAAAGAGGTTGGGATTATTTTCAGCCAAAGAAAAAATAAACAAGAAAATGTGTCCATATAAAACCATACATATACTGCTGGCACTATCACATTTCTAAGTTCAGTGAACTTCAAAAGCTAGGTCAAAAGGCTAATTTGGCATTTACTTTTAAAACTTCACATCATAATGAACAAGTGTACTGAGTTTAAAGTTGATGTGACCACACCTTCATAGTAACCTACCTTAAAACAAAAATTGAACTTACATTTTACCAAAATTTTAACCCCCCTTAAACCAAAACTTTTACCAGATACAGGATTGGTGGACAAAAAGGTGACATGAAAGTATAAATCCCAGCTACTATCTTAGGCAGGGTATAATTGTGTTTTTTTTTTTTACTTGAAGCAGTTTTGTATATCAAATTGTTATCTTCCTGCACTATTTTCCTTCTATCATTATTTTTGTAATCCACACCAATTGACTTACCGGTATTTTCAATACATATGACATTGTTTTTTTTGTCTTTTTTTTTTTAATCATCTTGCATCTTCCAACATTCTTCACTAGTTTCCTTTTCTAAATCTTCTAACCCAAAATTCCAATTCAATTCATATTAGGGGGAGCAGGGACAGGGGAGGGGGAGATTCCTTCAGTGACCTATTTCATGCTTGTTAGTTACTGATCACCAGTCTACAAAGGGAACATATGGGACTGGGAAAACTCTTCTTTGTGAGGATGGCATGCTGTGGGTTTTTATCCCACAAAATATCAAACTTCCACTCTAAAGGTTTCAAACATCCATTCCCAGATCAAAATGGATTCTTTAAAATGCATGCTGGGAACAGCTTTAAGTATCTTTTCAATCAAGCATGCCTCAACCAACAATTGGCAAACATAATTCTACAAAACCATCAATGATCTTTTCATGCCCCTAATCTGAAACATATCATTCTCAATATTTATAAATCTCCTTACGCAGTGAGTTATACGTTGAGTTATATGATGATCCCGAGTTATGAGAAAGATGAACAGGAGTTGTCCTTCCAGTTACGGACGATGTCGGCGTCATGCGTCCGGAAATCGATGATGTTGGTGTCATACGTCCAGAGATTTGTGAAGTTGGTGTCATACGACCAGAAAATGACACTGGTGTTGTTCTCCCAGATGTCTGATTTCGACGGTTTCTGGGTGCTGTGGCATAGGGATTGGTTATGTCTGCGGCACTATTTGAACGTCCAATTCTACGGCCATATAAATCGTAAAGAGGTTTGTCTAAGTCTGAAAGTTATTACCAGGCATGAAAACAAATATATAAACAGAAATAAATGTTAAAAGAATATTGAAATTAAATTTTACAAAGTTATAAATACAAATCATTATTACAAGATAAGTACAAGATAAATACAAGATAAGTACAAGATATAGAAATTAAAGATTATGAGTGTACAGAGGTATAAAGAAGCAGCATTAAAACAAAGACTGTCTTAGGTTCTTAATTAAAAAAAATAACAAAATTGAATAATTATCTATATTTTTTTTAACTTCTTATCTAAAAATTCTATTTTTTTAAAATTTTTGAAAGTTGTATTGAAAGTAACCAAAACATGAAAAATCTCCATATTATTCATGATTGAATAGAGATTGATTCCCCCAAATGCAGAGATCAGGCATATCATTGAAAACTGCAGATAAGCAATTATCTTTAATCTTCAAATTGAAATGCGTATCATCATATTGTACATATATAAATATGTAAATAAACAATCTTTGCTCTAATTAAGCAGGTAAATATACTAAGAAAGTAGGCAGAAATAAAAGTGGTTGAGTGATGTGATAACTAAAGGCCAAACCACAGCAACAGTCAGCTGATATCTAGCACGCTATACTCTTATCACATGGTGGTCATGTGATTGTCTTACCTTGCTTGTGGGCATCGCCTTCAACATCCAAATCTGGACGTGAAAGTGAAATTAGAAAGTAAAAAGGATACATGCAAAACAAGCACAAAGGAAAAGTAGTAATAATGGTTTTGAAAGGTGTCATGTCACATTTTGAAGGTCAAAACAATTCACTTTATCATGCTAATTGAAAATGCAATGAACAATTCTAAAAAAAACTTATTCCATGCTACTTTATATAACTATTTTGAATTTGACTTCTTGTTAAGCTTCATACCAACTGATGTCAATTGTAGGAAATTGTAAAATAAAAATATTGAGTATTTCCTCAAGTTACAAATCTTATAAATCCAACCTACAGGTTTTTATTGATATGATATTATCATAAACAAAACTATTACAGATATCAAACTTTTAATGTTCTTTCTTTTTCTCCAAATATAGGTATAAGATATCAAACTTATTGAACTATTAGACATTATCATCATAAACAATTAAAACTACATGTACTGCAAATTTAACAATAGTTTTCGAATAACTCCAGTTTTTTCATTTGCTGCATTTTTTTTTTATCAACTTTTGATTGAATCAAATGCATGATAAATATTTGAAAGATCACCTTTACACTGCACATATACAATCCTTTTTTTAAAATAGAAACATATATATGACATCAAATGTATATTTTTCTCAATCTATACACGTATTCATGTCCTTAACACCATAGGAGACAATAAAAGAAAAATCTATCGTAAGATTATATAAATAAACTGCAAACTTGCAGGCAGAATGTATATAACAACCAGCACCTGAAACACGAAAAAAAGACAGGGAAGAGTTGTGTATTATCTCCCTTTCCAAAGAAAAAGACAAGAAACAAAATTCTACCCAGCCAGTATGACATTATAATATTCAAGCTAAAAAAGCTAGGTTATCACTCATTTTTTTTAAACAAAATTTATCAGACTGCAAAAAAAACTATAAATGTTATAAATTCCTAATTTGCCTGCATGCTATTTCCAGCACTCTCAAGTTAAATTTATAAGCTATTGTAGAAATTTTTTTACAAGATTTTTGTTCATATGTATACTAAGGGACATTGTCCTCTCAATGGAATGACTTAAGCCACTAGATATTTTAAGTTTCCTGCTAAGCAAATGAAGCCCCTCCATGATAATATATTTAACTTCATGCCAGAGTTTTTGAAAACAATTTAACAATTTTACTTAAAATAGTCATGCTCTGCTTAATATATATGTTAATAAGCATCTTGTCTTTACAGATTATCAATGATATTTTGTCAATTTTAGATAGTACAAACTATTGTACTATCAGCTAAGTTTTATTTTCTAATCATAGTAAGAATTATTCTTGGAAATTTAAAGTGGAACTGAACTTGGTTGCTGTATCATTTGAATATATATATTTAAAATTAAACATTCTGTTTTTACCATTTCTCAACCAATCCAAAATTTAATTTTCTTTTTTATATATACATGAAGACAAATAATGACATTCATCATCAACAACATACCTGCACCACCTGTATCACTACTTGCAGAACTGAACTTGTGTTTCTTCTTTCCAATCCTTCTGTAAAAATAAAAATTAATTCTAATGAAAAATTTAATTACAGTAAGGGCAAGGATAATTTTGATCACAAATTGCTGTAATAAAAGCCAATCAATGTATATAATAAAGAAATTGAATTGGATAAACCTGACAATAGCACAAAATAAATGGGGAATGTGTCCATGGGACACAGATGATGCCCCGCTTGCATATCTAATAAATTGCTTCGCCAAGTGCAGCTGGATATGACCGCAGAGGTCCAACTCTGAACAGTTGGGGCAAAAATGGACGCAATATTCGCACCTGATACAGGTCTGAATTTGGATTGTAATTAAATATTTGACACAGAATAACTGTAGTAAAAAAACTTGGAATTGGTTATATGATTTGAATTTATATTCAATTTTTTGCTTTTGTCAATACACTTTGCTGTTGTGAATTGACCCCCATAATTGCAACCATAATTACCAATTTTAATACATCATAAAAGTCTTAAAATAGAAAATGACATACATAATCATAGCTAAAAACATTAATATTCCTTAATAGTAACTTCTAAAATTAAATTGACAGCTAATCATCTTTATACATAATTTAAAAGCAGTGTAAGGGAGGTAATCAAAACGTTTGGATTACCTCCCTTACACTGCTTTTAAATTGTCTTAAGTAATTGTCCATTAACCAGGAAACCCTTGTTTTTTCCCCTTTTTTGCCCCTAATTCCTAAACGGTTTGAGCCATAACCCCCAAAGCAAATCCTAACCATCCTTTTGTGGTATGGAAACTTGTGGTATAATTTCAAAGAGATCCATACACCGTTTCACATGTTATTGTCTGGAAACTAGAAAAATGCTTATTTGGGCCCTTTTTGGCCCCTTATTCCTAAACTGTTAGGACCATAACCCCCAAAATCAATCCCAACCTTCCTTTTGTGGTTATAAACCTTGTGTTTAAATTTCATAGATTTCTATTTAATTATACTAAAGTTATTGTTCGGAAACCAATTGTCTTCGGACGACGACGAAGTGATACCAATATATGACCGCAAAATTTTTTGCGGTCATATAAATGAATATAACTGAAGAACGGTAAAAGTGACGCTACCCTAATTTGTAATTGATCTGAGTTTTGTGGTAATAAGTATTGTGTATAAGTTTCATAACATTTGGTTCAGGCAAACTAAAGTTAGAGAACGGAAATGAAAAATTCAGCAATTTTTATGTTTATAAAGGGCATAACTCAAGAACAGTAAAAGTGACACCACCCAATTTCAAACTTGATCTGTATTCTGTGGTAATAAGCATTGTGTATAAGTTCCATAACATTTGGTTGAGGCAAACTAAAGTTAGAGAACAGAAACCAATTTTGGGACATACGGACGGACAAGGGTAAAACTTAATGCCCCCTCCGCTATGGCTGGGGCATAAAAATGCAATTCTTGTTTGAATTGTTTTTTATTTTGTCATTTCAGGGTCTTTCACAGCTTATTGTGTGGTATGGGTTTTGCTAATTGTTGAAGGCTGTATGGTGACATATAGATGTTAACTTCTACGTCATTTGGTGTCTGGTGGAGAGTTGTCAAATGGACAATCTTATTTTTATATATAAATTCTAATGTAATACCTATACAATGTTTCATTGATATTCAGTAACTGGTTTAGTAGTTGCAGATACAACATGCAGACATCAATATAATGAGGGGGTAAAAAAAATAGTAAATCTGTGTATACATCACTCACCCTAAAGTACTGGAATCAAAGCCTCTATCTGTACTAGCTGATCGCGGCCGTGATATCAATCCTTCCGCACTATTTAATGAATTATTACTAGATGATCCACTCAGTTCACCTTTAACCTGTTTTTGTTTGGAGGGTTCTAAGGCATTCAATAAGGCATCTGCTTGATCTTTGAAATGGTCAGCAAATCCCCAAAATGCTCTGAAGAAAGAAAATGTATCATTAATTCATCACATCTAATAAGCCCATCCGATATCATCTGAGGTTACAGCTGGAGACTTGTGTATCTCTTTAGATTGCCATAATGCAAGTCTGCACACCTTTAAAGTCCTTGCTTCATATTGTATGTCAATGCAGTGTAAAGCTTAAGAATGTGGTCATACACTTAAAACTTTACAGTACTATACTGATATAAAATACTGTCTGTTATTGTATGTCAATGCAGTGTAAAGCTTTAGATTGTGTACATACACTTTAAACTTTACAGTACTATACTGATATAAAATACTGTCTGTTATTGTATGTCAATACAATGTAAAGCTTTAGAATGTGTACATACTCTTAAAACTTGACAGTACTATACTTATATGAAATACTGTCTGTTATTGTATGTCAATACAATGTAAAGCTTTAGAATGTGCACATACACTTAAAACTTGACAGTACTATACTGATATGAAATACTGTCTGTTATTCATGCTTTTCAATGTTTTAGAATTTGTATAAATTACTATATGCATACATTTGAAATGTATGCAAAGAACAAAACATGATGACTATATTGGCTGCCATTAATGGAAATGGGACATTTTCCTGTATGTTTCCTTCACATATATATAATGACATGTTTGCTGACATAAGCCAAAATAGTGCATAAGTAATGATCCCAAAATGAACAGAGTGACGGACATGTAGAGGCTGTGCAGTAGGGGGCACAAATATAATTCTGAACAAAAAGGACAAATTTGTACTTACTTTCTAGAGAATGCCCTGGCATCAGTGTCTGCATCATTGATACCTCTCTTTAAAGCATCCTGTAGATTAGCAATCTGTTTTTCTAAAACATGTGTTGGCCAAGTGTGTAAAATTTGATTTATAAATTCACAAACTTGTCTGAAAAAAAGTACAAATCAGTTCATATATAAATGTGCTTGCAATCTTAAATTTGATGAAATAAAATAAAGCCACAGATTTGCATGTAATACAGTTTCAATGTCTTTATCATTAAATATTTGTTATTGTATATTTTCATATTTTCAGCTGGCTTTTTTGTCAGGAAGTAATTTCACGTTATACGGTATAAACAAATCTAAATTTATTCTAAGTGTTACAGCAATCAAAATGACTGCTGTGCTACCCATTATAATTCATATACATTTTCAATACATTTTATATCAAATGTCTTCAACTGGATCAATGACAGTTGCTTTTTTCGGTTTTTATTATTAGAACTGAGTTAGTCACCAAACCCAGTAGTTAGGGTGTCAGGCAAATTTAACATTCAGGCGTTTTTTGTTTTTTTTGGGGGGCTACTCTGTTTTGGCCACTTCATATAGGTTGACGTTGAATGCATATGTGAATAGCCTTTTACCAATTCAGTTTCGACATGCAAGTTGTACTTAAAAATCAATTTGTTCTGCACACAAAAACATTTGTTGTTGTATTTTGTTTATTTGTAATATTTTTGAATGTACTTATATCCATCTAATATGCATGATCACCACATGGTAGAAATAGGATTCTGACCCGACTATATTCAAATATTCATTTTCTAATACAACGTATACTTTACTCAAGATTTCTTTACAGACAGTATATGAAGTATTCAACAAAATACAAATTTTTGTTGTAACTGCTGTTGGTATATTACAAATCAGAGTAAAAAAATAACAATCATCTAAAAATATGTAACTTACCGTCTTATTGTACTAGATTTTGATGTTAACACTGAGATGATGGGTAACTTATCGTCTTACTGTACTAGATTTTGATGTTAACACTGAGATGATGGGTAACTTATCGTCTTATTGTACTAGATTTTGATGTTAACACTGAGATGATGGGTAACTTGTCGTCTTATTGTACTAGATTTTGATGTTAACACTGAGATGATGGGTAACTTATCGTCTTATTGTACTAGATTTTGATGTTAACACTGAAGTGATGGGTAACTTACCGTCTTATTGTACTAGATTTTGATGTTAACACTGAAGTGATGGGTAACTTATCGTCTTATTTTACTAGATTTTGATGTTAACACTGAAGTGATGGGTAACTTACTGTCTTATTGTACTGGATTTTGATGTTAACACTAAAGTGATGGGTAACTTACCGTCTTATTTACCATCTTATTGTACTAGATTTTGATGTTAACACTGAAGTGATGGGTAACTTACCGTCTTATTTACCATCTTATTGTACTAGATTTTGATGTTAACACTGAAGTGATGGGTAACTTACCGTCTTATTTACCATCTTATTGTACTAGATTTTGATGTTAACACTGAAGTGATGGGTAACTTACCGTCTTATTGTACTGGATTTTGATGTTAACACTGAAGTGATGGGTAACTTACCGTCTTATTGTAGCGGATTTTGATGTTAACACTGAAGTGATGATTGGCAACAATCTATGGGAATGTGTGTACTGCAAATAAAAATAAATGTGGATAGTGTCCACATGTGGACACAGATGATGCCCCCGCTTGCATATCATATAGTTATAAAGGGACATAACTGAAGAACTGTAAAAGTGACGCTACCCAAATTTGAACTTGATCTGAGTTTTGTGGTAATAAGCATTGTGTGTAAGTCTCATAACATTTGGTAGAGGCTAACTTAAGTAGAGAACAGAAACTAAAAATTCTTCTATCTGTAAACACGCATAACTCTAGAAAGGTTGTGTATAAGTTTTATAACATATAGTGGAGACAAACTTAAGTTAGAGAATGGAAACATTAAATTCAGCAATTTTTATGTTTATAAAGGGACATAACTCAAGAATGGTAAAAGTGTCGCCACCAAATTTCGTACTTAATCTGTATTATGTAGTGATAAGCATTGTGTATAATTTTCATAACATTTGGTTGAGGCAAACTAATGTTAGAAAACGGAAAACAAAAAATTTGTACTTGATCTTAGTTTTGTGGTAATGAATATTGTGTATAGGTTTCAAAATGTTTGGTTGGGGCAAACTTAAGTTACAGAGTGGAAACTAAAAATTTTGCAATCTTTCGATTTATAAAGGGGCATAACTCAATAATGGTTAAATTGACACTACCCAAATTCAACTTGATCTGTGTTTTATCAGAGGAAGTCAAAATTAAACATTATATTGTATAAAGCATTGATTGTAGTTGATTCAACTATAATCATGGACAAAGGAAGATAACTCCAATTTTAAAAATTACTTGATACTTAGAAGAAAATAAAAATTTTGCAATTTTCACATTTATAAAGGGGCATAACTCTAGAATGGTTGAAGTGACGCCCCCAAAATTCAAACTTGATCTGTGTTTTGTGGTAATAAACATTGTGTATAAGTTTCACAACATTTGGTTGAGGCAAACTAAAATTAGAGAACAGAAACGAAAATTTCAGCAATTTTTCCATTTGTAAAGGGGCATAACTCTAGAACAATAAAAGTGATGCCACCAAAATTCGAACTTGATCTGTGTTTTGTGATAATAAGCATTGTGTATAAGTTTCATAACATTTGGTTGAGGCAAACTAAAGTTAGAGAACGGAAACAATAAATTCAGCAATTTTTCCATTTGTAAAGGGACAAGGGTAAAACTTAATGCCCCCTCTGCTACGGCGGGGGCATAAAAATATACTGTTTATGTGTATATTCACAATCTCTGTACTAAATAAACTTCACAAATTTTTTTTAAATTTACAGTAACTGTTCTTTGTGCATTTGAAAAGTCCTAACCATTCAATTTCACTTAAATTCTACATATTATGTATCATTTTTAAAAAGCTTATCTAATATTTAAGATTTTTTTCTCAAATAGAGGTCATGTTCAAACAAAATATGAAATACAGTAATCGAACCAATAAATTGTTTCAAAATAAAAAAAAGTTACCTATAAATAAAAGAACTTTCATGGCCTTCAAGTTGTATCCATAGTTTATTACACTTACTTGTAATATAAAACGTATACAGACTATTCCAGATGTGGCCATAATTTTAGCACTATTTGGTATCAAATTGATGAGATGACTCATCTGAGATTCTGCAAAGTGATCAAACTTGCTTCCTAACACCTGAGACATATATCTGAAAATAAAAAGAATGATTTTAATAGAACTTATAATCTGACTTTATCTTACACTGATATTGACTTAAAAGCTTAAACAGGCCCTCCTCAGTACAGGACTGTAAATCCTTCATCTGCTCAACTTGTATATATTGTCATAGTAACCGAGTTATGGAAAATGATTTTAATCATGTTTAGACGTAAAACATATCCAATTCCTTAAAGCTTATTTATAAAATATGTATATGTAAATCTTCTGTAGGCATGTTGACTAATGTTAAAATAAATGAAACAACTTCTATGAAAACCAACAACCACAGCTGTCTAATGGAAGCATGCTTGTCTTGGGTGTGTTCTATCCATGACTGTGTCAAACCAAAGACTTTAAAATCTGGTTTTTGTATCTTCTCAAACAAGAACACATTTTTAAAGGTTAAGAGCAAGTCTGGTCTGCTTGGATTGAGAGTAGGGTGATATATCTTAAGGTGGACTGCTACTTTGTAAATTATTAGAAATTAAAAATGAGACTCAGTCTGAATAAAGTCTTAGGGTTAAAAGTGAATATTTAAAAAGAAATTTTGTTTGAATTTTTCCTTTGGAGTGGAAGTGTGGGTGTAAAAATTAATAAACTTTTTCATTTTCATTTTCAATTTCAGCATTTCATTTTTGATAGTTTCAGTTACATTCACTTCTTGTAACTGTCTCATATAAACTATTTCTTGTTTTGTTCAAGGGTTTGTTTTTATTGTTTTTAATTTTCTGCAATGAATTAATGTCAGACTTAAACTAGGTTAACTTACGCTATAGTAATACAGGCTTCTCTAACAATCTGAGATCGAAGGTCCCGGATACAAATGGAAAAACATGGTTCCATACTCCTTAATAAATGAAAAAACTCATCCTGTTGCTGCCCTCCTTGTACTATCACAGATCGAACAGTTTTAATCTGAAATAAAGATAATACAAAATCTTTGGTCTCATTGTGTAGAATTGAACTGATATATATTTACTTTGCTTTTGTAACCTTAAAAGTTAGATCATGCAGACAGAGTCGGTTTTTATCATTAATTGTAATTTCCGAGCTAATTTGAAATTTCCTTTAAAATATGCATTGTACCCAGGTCTCTGATATAACTAAAGGCATACACGGCAAGCTTTGACTGCATCTGTCCTTAATTTATAGGTATCATGAAAACAGCAAAGCATTTTTTTTTTTTTAAACAAAACAAATTTTTCTCTCTTTTGATATTTCTACTTGGATCAATGACAACAAATTCTGGTATTTTTATGGACAAATGACAAAATCTGGATTAAATCAGAGCTTACAGCTTCATTTCTTTTCTCCCAATCTTTCTTCTCATCCGACAATATGTCTTTGGCTTTTGTCAATACATCTGTCATGTCTCGTGCAGAAAATATCTGAAATAGAAATGAAATGTTTAAATCTTACATGTAGAGTAAAGGAAGCAAGTTTTCATATTATTCCATATTCAAAAATATGCATGAATTTCATACAATTTTGTGAGGTAAATATAAACGGTTGGATACTTTAATTTGGGATCTCTATTGATTTCCATTACCAAGTTACATATAGCATGATTTCAAAATTCAAATGAGTTCCACGTTTAGTTGAGGACAAGGTTAGAGGTCATATACAGTGTTATGCCACACACCGTTTTGAAGTGATACACCCAATTGCTAAATATCAAAAGCTTTTGTCAAGGATAAAGCAGTTATGACCCAAACACAAATGACTTGAACTTGGTCAATGTCAAGTCTAATCTATATAGGTATGTGATACTAAGTCTAGAGATGATGTGCACATAATTCAAATATCTAAACAATACATAATCATAGTTAAGGTGATCCCTATACAAATGTACACCTACTTCCCCTATAAAAAATAGTTATAATATAAATCATTACTTTACCTGCACTTTAGGGACATCTTCAAATGACTTAATGAAAAATTCCTCATCCACAGCTCCTGAACTGGCTGCTGATGACACTAGAATTGATAGAAAAAATCATTTTAACCATCAAATTTTAATTCAAAAAGCTATTTTTAAACTTTTACATCAGATGTTATGGAAGTAATATCATTCATAATTTTCATACCTAAGCATGTTTCAGTCCTTGAATTTGCAACAATATGTATATTTTTAATAAGGTAAATTTGAAACCAATAATTATCAGTTTCAACACTATTATTATTCAGGTCTGTATAAAACCCTGGTGTAGACATATTAAGTAACAGATTTTTATTTCTATTCTTAAATGTTTTTGCAGTTTGTTTTTTCCCTTGTCTTTTTATTTTCTCACAAAGTGGAAGACATTTTAATTAAACCTAATATAATTTTTAATATTTTTATGCTTTCTTAACCTTTTGCCAAATTTATCATACATACTAGAATGGAAAACATTTCCTCCAGCTAAAATACATACATGTATACAACAATATCTATATATACACGGACAACAAAGAATTGATTATTTTCGTTCCTATCACTTAAACATGCAAGACCCACACAAATACTACTAACTACAGTGAAAAAAAAAGAACAAAAATAGGAAAAGTGAATACAAAAGTAACCCTCTGCAATAATAGTTTTCATTTCAATCATTTCTAGTTAATCTTAATGACAAATGTTTTTTTTCCCTGAAGTGGTATCAATTTCCAAAGTTTTTTTTTTTTTTTAAACTTTGAACTTAATATATAAATTATAATTTGAAATTAGATTTCCAAGTTTTCTACCGCATTCTTCAATCAAATTTCAATCACTAAAAGATCTTCAACTAAACAGGTATGATTAAGGGGATGTTAGAAAGGGTGCAGTGTCCACACAATGAGACATGAGGTGCACAATATAGTTACCTGGCCCAGAAATAGACCGACGACGTTGGAGTGAGCTCCCTTTAGTAAGAAAAGCAACTGGTTAGTATAATGAATGAAAAAGCAATATTATTTTTATGTCCATGAAACAACTCAGCACAGCACATTGCTAATGATTCAAATGTGTTATTTACTGTACTGTAATGAAAACATATAATCTATTAAATAAATTCTAAAAAATAAATACTTTTGAGAGGGGTTTTAGAAGAATTAAGCTGACTATAGTTTGAAAGAGGGGTTTTTCAGAAAATTAAAGCTGGCTATAGTTAAAGTTAACTTTTTAACAGATTTGTAAATAATACTGTAAATAATAGCACAGCAGCACTAATGCCATGTTTGATGATTTGACAAAACAAATTTTCTAGCATAGATGTACTGGAGATTAATAACTTAGAAGTGAAGACATGGTAAATTTTATGCAATAACACATTAGCACTAATGTCATGTTGGATGATTTGAAAGAACTCTCTAGAATAGATGTACTGTAGATTGATGACTAAGAAGAGAAGACATGATAGAACTAACCTGATGATGATTTTGATGGCAGAACACTTCTCTTTGATGTAGTATTCGATGATGGCTGCACTCTCTTGGCTGTGAGAACTTTTGTGGAAGTTGGACGAGCAAAATCAGTTTCATCATCACCGCCTGCACGACTTGGAGCTAAAGAAAAGAAATAAACATATGCATACATTTAACTGCTGATTACACTACAGAGATCAAGTAAGAACAACTGAGAAAGTCAAATCTCTGAAAGAAAACAATTCAAATGATCATATATGGACCTGTTTCACATAGTGTTGTTTTGAATAATGTAAAAGAAAACCAGTTGGAGTTGAGATGACATAAACTAGGTACAAATGTATCCTGTGTTCATGGTTTACCTTTACCCATCAAATCCATGAAAATGGGTATTCAACAAATACAGTTAAGACTTGTCATGACTACTTTACACCCAAGAATTAATTAAATGCTTTTCCTTGTCAAATAAAATGGACTTCACAAACTCCCCTAATTTCTATCATTGTTATAGGTTCACACAAAGTATACACTTTACAACCTTAAATTATTCAACTGCCAAATGAGTGGACACATCTTTGGTTGTTTATACTTTTCTTCAACACTGACCTATAGTTACAATGTGTAATCTGAAAGGCATTCATTAGTTACAGTGAAACCATCTGAGTGGTCTTGTGGTAACATGATCACATCCAGTGGAGGAGGTTGTGGTTCGATAACAATCTGGGTATTTGCAGCTTCTAGACCAAGCTCATAGTATTTATGAATAAGATCAGACTGTATGGCTAGGAGTTAGATAAATGGGTCCCAGGTTAGGGGGAGGGTTGAGTGCTCACAAACATGTTTAACCCCGCCACATTCTTTATGTGCCTGTCCCAAGTCAGGAGCCTGTAGTTCAGTGATTGTAGTTGGTCCATGTCTGTCATATTTGTTTTTCGTAAATTATTTTGTGATAAATTTAGTTTTCTAAATTGAATTGTTTCACATTTTTCATGTTGGGGCCTTTTAGAGTCGACTATACAGTATGGGTTTTTCTCATTGTTAAAGGCTGTACAGCTGCCTATAATTGCTTATATTCACTTCATTTCAACTTTGGTGGATAGTTGTTTCATTGGCAATCTTACCACATCTCCTTTATTTTAAAACTGAGTAAGGTGGTATCTCTTCCTTGCAGACTGTTTCCTTGTGAGTGAGCAACAAAAAAACTGACTATGTATGTCAAGTCTAGTACAAAGCATTCCTCTTTGGAAAGATTTCTTCACAACAACAAAAGTCATAAAAAAGCAGATATTGCAATTAATCAAGTCTATGTACATTTTGTAATTAAGTGGCTAGGAAGTATGTGATCTCGGATTACAGAATCAACAGCTGTTTCTTCAAAATTTCTAAATTACCTCCCTTAGTAATTTGTAATCATCATAACAATAATTAAATCCACATGACTTCTTCGTAATTAAACAGATATGAACAAAAATTAATCTGACAGATTCCTTATATAAATCATTTCCTGATTATAAGTTTACTCTAAATTGTATAGCATCTTCACTATTAACAACAGCAAAGGTTACTGTTAAAATTCATAGCAGTGAATTGATATATTCGAAGTGATTTATAAATTCAACTGTCTCCTTTTTTAACTAGCGGTCACAAAAATTGTCAAGACTCATTTCAGATCAACAATGCAAGGTGGTCACAAAAAACTCCTTTATGAAATTGTTTTTACAAAGGCTTAAAAAGAAAAGTGTGAAACTGTTTTACATATCCTATCACAGAATTTGTTTTATACTCAAGGGATTTTATCCCATTCTCCCCCCTAAATCTAACAGCTCTCCCCTTGAATAGATCCAATTACCTTTCTTTGACACTAAATTTTTATATTTCTGTATCAATTTATCTTTTATAGAACTCATCTTTATTATTATTTGTCATTTGTCAATCTCCATATTAATTTTACATCCAATTTGTTATTTCGTCAAATTGCCAAACATAACAAGATAGAAACCATCTGTTAATCACACTTTCTATTCAAATTCTGTTTCTATAATCAACAAGTAAAAATATCTCCAAGGTATCATTCCTACAGTTAACGTGTTTCACATAGACACTTTACGTTACGTGTAGGTTAAGTACGAAATAACAACATTCCTATAGTAACAATTTCCAGTACATGTAGATTAAGTACATGAAACATCAAATTGAAACTGCTGATGTCAGTTGAAATCAAAATTTACTGTAAAAGTTATATTGCAAGTTTTATTTTTGGATGAAATATTCTAATCTGCTTAAAGCTATGTAACAGCACGATTGTAACTGTAATATGTATATCAATGAAATTTTTCACTCTTGATAAAAACAATTCCAAGATTCTATGTAAGTTTTTATCACTTAATTGATACACATTTACAATATAACGATCCTTTTTCTGATTGCACAAAATGAGAATCACTTTTATAATAAAAACTCTATTTAATAATGAATTCTTTGTTTTGTTTCCTGATCCACCAACCAAATTATAGAAACCCAATACTAAAATCCACAATGATTCTGTGAACTAGTTTTACACAATGAATTAAATTTTTCCAGTTTGATATTGAATTCCATCAGTTACATATTAGAGATGTAAAGCATTAATTCATGTTTCTTTATGATTTAAAAATCTTCAGTTTTTATTCACAGCTTAAGAAACAATAAGGCTATTAACATAATAATCCCCCAGTAATGAAGCAGTGCATCTTATAATGCAGAGTATCGGTAATGCTAGACATAATAATAAGTTTTCATAACTCCACTGCTTTCCTGCTTGTCTACAGATTCCTTATCTTTCACCAGGTGTACACACATGAAAAAATTTATATCTCCAATCAATCAAACCATCTTTCATAACTCAATAAGCTAACAAGAAGACATTTCAATCTCCTCAAGATATAACATCAATTATACTTGCAAGGTATTTTTTTTTTTTTTATGTTTTCCAAACTTTAAAAAAAAATCCTCTTTTCTTTCTTTCATCAGAACTAATATCTCTAAAGTTTGGAGATCATATAATACATTTTTATTCTTTAGATGCATCAAGCACATCTATGGATGCAGTTAAATTTGACAGTTATATTAATCAATTCATATCTAAATCTGATTAATATTAAAACCACTTTGAAATATGCTTTTTTTTTAAACTGATAAATTCTATAAATCTCTGACAAGTAACTATCTATTTGTACAGACAAAGAAGACACAAGGATGAAATAGATTACACAGGAGATGTTCATTTCATACAACAGTTTTGAATGGGGCTCCACAGGTAGTGATTGATATTTAAGTCTTAGATCCATGATTTTTTTTTTAGTTGTTATTGGCTTTGAACTAGCTGTCAGTAACTGTGAATACTCTCAGATCTGTACTTAAAGGGATAGTAGCTACGATTTTGACAAAATTATGACCAAGTTTTAAAGCTGCTAAAATCAAAGATATGTACTTTAAATTAACAATAAGATCGGTGGAATGTTTATATAAAGTACAGAAGTGTTAATAATTGATAATTAATATCGTGTAGCGTGCATTTTCATCTCATTAATTATGCATCGGGTTTACTTCCCGAACTTTGCCGACACAGCGAGTGAGATGACCAAGATATAAATAAATATGAACATGTGCTTTTGTTTTCTTACGTATTTGACAATTTCTTTAGATTAAACGTACATATTTGAAACCATTTATCAAATTATGTAAACAACAAAATATACCAAATGCCTGCATATTATTCGAACCCAAGGTTCTCAAACAATGGCGATATTATACACTTGTTTTATATTTGTATGACAAAAAAATGCCGATAATGTATACACGTGTTTGTGAATTGAATTGGGGCCTTCATGCAGGGTACACCGAAAGAATAATATCAAATTGTAAGAAGTTGATTTTTAATGTCTTCTAAGTTGTGAGATTACTGCTCTTAAATTTATAAAAATATTTTGGACAATAATGATTTGAACACGTCGCTATTTATTTTCATGTGATCTGGATTCGAAAAGTTCAGAAATGTTTTTTACATTTCGCAAACCGTCATAATGTCGACTGCTTATATAATGACTTTATCTGCGTGACGGGTGTTAGTAAATGATTCTAATGACCGATCTCATCGCCGTTATTTATTTTCAATTTACAATAACTTGTCTACACCTCTTTACTGTTTCTTTTTCTCGCAGAAACTGTAAAGGACACACGTTCCATTTCCGCGATAACATTCCTCTGTTCGACATTTTCCCTTCGAGGGACAACTTGCGATTGCGCATTGGGAACTGCGGAGTTAAGGTCAACATAGGTCATATGAATAAGGGTTGGCTAAACATCGAATTTTTGTCTATAGACAAGAATTAAATTTAGGTGTAAAACGTTAAAAAGCTTCTAAATGCTAATTGGAAAGTAAACAGTGATGGTTTTATTCATTCTAAATAAACCTTTTGTACAAAATCCGGCATATAGATTAGAAAAATAATTTTAATGAAAATCGTAGCTACTATCCGTTTAATGTCTTTTTGTTGTGGGATGTATAAGTACCGTGCTAAGTCCACTGTGTTTTTGTTACATGTTTTTGTGCTTTGTATCGATCTGATGATCTACGCCCTTTTCAACTGATTTTTATAGTTTTTTCATAAATTGTACTGTTACACCACTGTCCCAGGTTAGGGGGAGGGTTGGGGGCTGGTGACATGTTTAACCCCCACCATATTCTGTATGTGCCTGTCCTAAGTCAAGAGCCTGTAATTCAGTGCTGGTTGTTTGTTGCTGTATATCAAATTTGTTTTTCGTTCATTATTTTGTACATAAATCAGGCCGTTAGTTTTCTCGTTTGAATTGTTTTACATTTGTCATTTTGGGGCCTTTTATAGCTGACTATGTGGTATGGGTTTACTCATTGTTGAAGGCTGTATGGTGACCTATAGTTGTTAATTTCTGTGTCATTTGGTCTCTTGTGGAGAGTTGTCTTATTGGCAATCATACCACTTCTCTTATTGTTATACTGATATCCCAACAGAGTTTACAACAGTCTACTCGTTTTGGTGGCATAATTGCCCTAAATTTATGTATTTGATTTCTACCTGCATACCTATTTGGTTCTGGCAGCCCAAAATGCTTGAAAGATTAAC